CTTGAGGGTCCTATTTGACCATGGCAGGTCGAATTTAGCCCACAGTCCATATTTTGAATGCCCTTGGTCTAAATTGTTGTCTCACCATTGCTGGAACAGCAGTAGCAATGTTGAGAATTTTTTTTGCAAAAAATGGTACTGTAACACTGTCAAGCAGAATTGAATCTGGGATCTCTGGAGCATAGTGCATGTGCATCTACTAAATGAGCTAAAGGCCAACTAGTGCTCAGATAAGGCCCTAGAACCGTTTTCAATTTTTTTGGTCCAATGGACTACCTGGCTCAATATAAACCTTTCCATGAACTACCAGTTGCTAATGGAAACTCACTGTTAATTACATGATTACACCCGAGCCATTGTGCTATTGCTGTAGCTAAGGAGACTGATTTAATTTATATTAACTTTCTCATGTTAGTTTATCAAACTTCATTTTAAATAAAGTAAAGTATTAATTTATGTCCAACACAAAAGGTTTCAATGTTTTCTTTCTTTATGGTGGGTGTGGGGAACCTTTTTTGTGTTGGGGGCCACTGTCCCACAGAAAAATCAGTTGGGGACCACATAAGGGAGAAGCAAAAAAACTCCTCCAAAACTTCCTTACTCTCACTGATGTGGCCTCCAACTGAGACACCTCACCCCACTGGATGAGGGGAAAGAACAGGGAGGACGGAGGTTCAGGGCTTCCCATAGGCCAGATTTACTTTTCTGGGGTTCTGGAGTTAGTGGATTTTAAACATCCCCCTAGGCTCTGGGGTGGGGACAAAAATGAGGGGTTCAGTATGTGGGACAGGCTGCCAGTGAGTGGGATAGGGATGGGGTACAGAAGGGGGAGAAGTTAGAAGGTCTGGGTGGGAGGTAGGGTGCAGAAGCAGGCTGGAAGTAGGGTATCTGGCTAGGGGGAGGGAGCAGGAGCAAGGGAGGGTGTAGTGTGTGACCAAGAGAGACGGTGCAAGGAGCAGGTGGGGGTAGGTATCTGGCCAGGGGGTGGGTGCAGGAGCAGGCTGGGAGTAGGATGTCTGGTCAGGAGGGTACTTGGGGTAGGGTGATTGGCCAGGGGCAGGGAGATGGGGGCAGGGAGTGCCTGGGGATAAAGTTGGGGGTCAGAGTGGCTGAGGGGGTTCAGGGAAATGAGGGGCAGGGTGCTACTAGGAATAGGGCTGGGGTAAGGTGGCTGGGTGTTCAGGAAAATGGAGGGTAGGGTGTCCTTGGGGGAAGGGGCAGGGAGGTGTGACAAAGTGGTGGGGGGTGGCCCCAGACTGTCCAGCACTGGTGGGGGTGGGGTCCGGGTTGAGTTTGCTTTTTTCACCACCCCCTTCCACCTCCACGTGTCTTCGGAGCTGGAAGCTGGAGCTGCAGTTTTGTGGCTGCCTGGGCTCCCTCCTGTGTGGGGGTGGAGAGGCTGAGCTTGAGCTGTGGACTACCTGGGAGGCGGCCACCGACCACTTGTCGTCTGGGGACTGCACTTTGAGAACCACTGCCCTAGAGCAAACTCATACTTCCTCTCTGTAAGTAGTCCAAGTGTCACTACATGGGACAATGAACCACACCCACCAGGTGTCTAGGTTACATAAGCAGCTCTGATTGGAAAACACAAGCCCTGCTCCAGGGAATTTACAGTCTAAATGTGAATTGTGACAGGAGCAAAGGTGATACTCAAAGCAACAAGGTGAGGACATAGGCATGAGAATTATGGGTGCTGCAGAACCCCCACATTTTACAGGAGTTCTGGCTACCAGCTCCATGCATAGGGTCCTGGCTGCTGGCCTCGTGCCTGGCTCCAGCCCTGGCCTTAACTTCTGCTCCCTTTCCTCTGCCTGGGTCCCTTCCTCCCAGAGAGATAGCCCTGTTCCTGGCCCCAGTGCTAGGGGAATGGCTGGTGGTAGACACTGGGTAAGGGGGCTTTCAGCACCCTCGTGACTAAAAATGTTCCAGTGCCACTGGATGAAAAAGGATAAAGATTACAAGAATTCGATCATACCATTACTTTTTCCCAGAAAATGCATACCTTGGTGGTTCTGTGAATGTACTTACAAGGAAGATAAAATATGTGAAAATAACTGATTCCCTTATTGAAGGTCTCGCAGACCAGATGAATTAACCCCCACTTAATAGCATCAGTTTTACCTTTCCAAAGTACTGGGAGCAAATTACCTTCTATTAAAATTGCTTTGTTGACTGTAGGGTCTCTCTATTTAGAACTTTCCATTAAGTATACTTAATATATTTTCCTGTCTATTGTACAGGCAGTCCCCAGGTTACGTACAAGATAGGGATGGTAGGTTTGTTCTTAAGTTGAATTTGTATGTAAGTCGGAACTGGTACATATTGTAGGGGAAACTCTAGCCAAACATTTCTCCAGAGCTCAGTTTTATTCTCCCACACCTCACTTCCCTCAGTCCTTTATTCTCAAGCTGAGGTATCTGCTGAGAAAAGCCACTCTGCGTCTCCCTGGTCTGCTGGGGGGAGAGGGGGCACAGCTAGTGCGGGGTTGCCTCACCCCGTTTGTAAGTAGGGTTCCGATGTAAGTCGGATCCATGTAACCTGGGGACTGCCTGTACTGCCTCATTTTCATATCCACTTCCTTTATCCTTCCATATAATCTGTATAGCACAAAAATACATGAATGTGATTCCAGTATTTTGTTGACACAAATAATAAATGTATAGTTTCAAAGTATCATCTGTTCACTGTATTTTGTGTTATGGTATTTTTTTATTGTTCCCAACCTCTTGCGGAGCCATTGTTGACTCTGACAAATGTTCAGTTTTCTTTGTCCATATAAGTGTTTCCCTTGCAATTGCACAGAAAAATGTTCTTGTGTACATAGGAAGAAGTTAGACCTTTTTTCAGGCTCTCTGTACTCCCTCCTGAATCCCTGCCTCCTCACAATTCTCTCCCAGATCCTGTATCCTGCTCCTACACCTCTCTTCCAGATCAGAATCCTCTCCTGCACCCTATCCCCTGCCCTAGGTCACAACCTAGACCCCATCCAATTCCTGCATCCCAATACCTGTCCCCAAGAGGGCAGCCCTTGACAACTTACCAAATTCATGGAGTGACCTCACCCCATCTCAAAAAAGATATGCTGGCATTAGAAAAGGTTCAGAGAAGGGCAACTAAAAGGATTAGGGGTTTGGAACGGGTCCCATATGAGGAGAGATTAAAGAGACTGGGACTTTTCAGCTTGGAAAAGAGGAGACTAAGAGGAGATATGATAGAGGTATATAAAATCATGAGTGGTGTGGAGAAAGTGAATAAGGAAAAGTTATTTACTTGTTCCCTTAATATAAGAACCAAATGAAATTAATGGGCAGCAGGTTAAAAACAAATAAAAGGAAGTTCTTTTTCACACAGCGCACAGCCAATCTGCTGAATTCCTTGCCTGAGGAGGCTGTGAAGGCTAGGACTGTAACAGGGTTTAAAAGAGAACTAGATAAATTCATGGAGGTTAAGTCCATAAATGGCTATTAGCCAGGATGGGTAAGGAATGGTGTCCCCAGCCTCTGTTTGCCAGAGGGTGGAGATGGATGGCAGGAGAGAGATCGCTTGATCATTACCTGTTCGATTCACTCCCTCTGGGACAGCTGGGATTGGCCACTGTCAGCAGACAGGGTTCTGGGCTGGATGGACCTTTGGTCTGACCCAGTATGGCCATTCTTCTGTTCTTACGTTCTTATAAAAAGTTGTCTACCTCTGGGCTAGAAGATAGTGAATGTGTATATGAGACAATCTTTCAGTTTAGACTTTTGTACCCATTATGGAAAAAAAATCTGAGAATCCCTAATGTGTCTCAATAAAAGCTTTGAGAGCAGTACCAGAAAGTGGAAGTGAATGCACATTCAGTTCAGTTTGTGGAACAGTGGTGTAATATGATCTCTGTAGTTTGCCCTGCTTAGAGGACATGATCTCTTAGGTTTAGTCTCAGGCAGGGGGAATTACATTGTGCAGACTGAACGGATGAACTCAGGAGGTCCTCATCAAAGAAAAAGATGTATCTGAGTGGAAGATAGGACTTTTGGCCATTAGAGCTGTTTGGATATCTAGAATCAGTGACAAGTTCACCATGCTCCTGAAGCCTGATTATTGTGGTCTTAAAACCTAATATGACCTGGCAAATGTGAGTGAGATAGGTGACAAATGTCTCAGGGGAGGAAGGAGGTGGGTCAAATAATTGTGTCTACATTATCTAGAAGACCCTAGCACTCTTTTCTGCCTGCTACTTTGTCTGCTTTGGATATAGTGTAAGAGGAGGAGAGTAGCGTATATGTGGGTATGTACATATGGAGGTACAGTATTCCATGAGATCCAGATGATAGAGAAGGGTGATCAGTTAAGGTTCCTTCCTGTCCTACAATTTTGTGATGACAGCTGTTGGATGGAGGTAGCCTTAAACGTCCGTCTCTTCATCTATCTCAAGAGTTCTGGAAGTTGGATGGAGGTAGCCTTAAACGTCCTGCTGTTTGCGTCTCTTCATCTATCTCAAGAGTTCTGGATGAAGGAGAGAAGGGCACAAAACTGTTGATGACCCTTTGTATGTGTATGGCAAAGGAGCCTACACAGGCTCCACCTCAGATGTGAATGATGGTGAAGCTAGAGAGCAAGGCAAAGCTCACTGTGTTCTTAGATGTGGGGGGGGGAGGTCTCCTTGCAGCCCTCCTATTCCTACCTTTCTCTCCTCATTGTCTGGCCCTGGCATGTAGGTGGGATACAGTCTCTTCAGCTGTCCCATCTGTTTCTCAGATCTCTCCCTCCCTCCCAGAGGTAGGAATGAGCAGTGGGAGATCTGGAGCACCCTGTCCTGCCCCCCTGATGGGGTGGAGAGGCTGGAACATGGTGCAACTCCTTCCTGCCCTGGCTGAGATGTGGATAATGTAGGAGAGGGGGTGAGGCAGGCATTGATTGCCAGCGAGCCTGGCAATTCCTCCCTCTTCGCCTTCCGTTCTCCCAAACCGGGGGCGGAGAAGAGGGCGCTGCATGGGGAGAGCGCCGGCCGTGTGCGCTGCGCCTCTCTCACGCTGTGGAGCTGACTCCCCAGCCCTGCTCCGATCTACAGCTCAAAGGGGTAGCGGAGTGTGCGCAACATGCGGCCGGCTCCTCTATTCCCCCCAGCCTCCTGACTGGGATGCACGGCGTGAGGAGGAGGAGGAGGAGGAGGAGGTATGTGTCATGCCACCCCCGGATGTAGGGCGCGGAGGAGAAGAGTTCATGCAGCTGAGCCCTCCTGGCCCGGGTGCAGGGCGAAGGAGGCCGCCAGGGGTGTGCGGCACGGCACGCTCTCGCTCCCGGGGATGTGCAGCGCGGTGAACGGGCGGAGGGAGCTGGAGGTCACTGTCTCTAGAGCTGGTCCCACCCCCGGCCTGCGCTCTCCTCCCCTGCTGTCCCCTCCTCTCCACCCTCCCTG